AAAAAAATGGTATGTCACGCCCTGGGATAAAAAATAGTTGGCAAATGCGACTATTTCTAGATTATTGTAATTCTTTTTTTTTAGTAAATAATTTCTTATCGGCCTGATAAAATGAACTTATTATTTTGCGGACAAACAAAGAAACATACAAAAACTTAAATGTTCTCAAAACGACTAAAAAATCTGGCTGGTTTTTTGCAACTAAATATTATTTCCGTGGTCAGTTATCGAGTGCGATCGCACCCGCTTCCCGACCAAGCCTGTAACTTCAGAGGAAGATAGTTATGGTGTGAAAAACCAAATCTTCATATTAATTAGTGTAAAAGGTTTTATACATTATTAAAAACTAAAGTAATTAAAAAATTATTCTTTAAAGCAAAAATTAAAAAGGTTTACTTTTGATGGAACTATAGAAGTTTTACACATTATTTCAAAATATTTTTAACTTTCAAGTTTTACAAAATAAATTAATAATTAATTTCTATTAAAATATTATTTGCTCATTTATTTATTCCTAATAATACCTGTAATAAACAGGAAAAAAAAGATGCAAATACTTTGGGAATTTATTTTTATGTACAAATTGTAAGTGGAACTATGGAAATTTTGCAACTATTTTTTATCCCAGGGCGTGACATACCATTTTTTTAAATGAGCGTTGACTTGTGTATCTTTATTGACGAACGTCTAATTTAAGAGATTTATGTCAAACAAATTTCAAATAATTTTTAATCTAGTTAATAAGTTATCAAATATATCAAAGATGCTAAATTTATTTAATTGTTATTTTTCAAAAACTTTTTTTTTACACATTTGCAAAGCGCGCACAAATTAATGATAAACGCACAATAAAAAAAATTTTTAAAAGTGTTTTTAATATGCAAACAAACATTATTTCAGTTTATGAAAAATAAGAAAATTAAAAAAAAAAATGCGCAATTTTATTTATAATGAAATCTTTAACATTAAAATTTAAACTTTTAATGTAATTGCTAAAAGTCTACCTGGATTATATTTTGTTGAGGCTAATAATTTATTATGAGCGTGTATTTTTTACTTTTTTTGTCAAAAAATAGTTTCTTTTTTTTTAAATATTTTTTGATGTGTTAATTGGAGTTAATACATTGTTTATAAAATGATGCTTTAAAGTAAATCAATGTTCAAAAAATTTTTTTACAATTATCTAAAAAAATTTCAGAATAAAAAATTTCTAGGAGTAGTGAAGTAGGGTGAAACTAAGTGAACGCTAATGCAATTTTTTTTTTATATTAGTGAACACCTTAATAAAATTTATGAGTGAAGTCATCTAAAGCTTTACTCCTCCTCTAGGTGGGCTGAGGCTTGGAGTGAACACTAATCTTAATGAAATTTTAAAAATATCCTTAAATAAACTTTTTGATCCTTGATAACATTTCCTTAAACTTTGCATAGGTTTTTTTACTGTTATAAATGCAGAAAAATCTTCACTTTTTGAAAGATTAAAAAAAAAAAATGGTTTTCTAAATAATAAAGTTTTCTAAAGTCATCCCATTTTGCAATTAGATCGTTATTGTCATTGTGCTTAAATTGTCGCTCTTGAGCTTTTTTATTGTTTTTTTATGTTTTTTGCTAGAATCTATCTTGTTGTAAACTTAGGATGTTTTTTTATTGTTCAGAATGTCAAGGATTTATTAACTTGAATTGCATGAAGGCAAAGTGATAAAGTGTTATATTGTCAGTCATGGTTTTTCTTTTACATTTAACAATATTTTGAAATAATTTTTTTACTTTTTATTAGTATTCTTTTAGTATTTAATGATGATATTTTAAATAAAGTACTATTGTACCATTTCTAGTGACAAATCTTTGTTGTTGCAAGTTGATAGCAACCACTTGCAAAAAGGTTTTTATCTGTTACAGCATTCTTTTGTTGATTAATGTTATGAAGTAGTATCTAACAACACACTGCTAGTCATTACTTTCTGTTTGAGGAAAGTGATTTTTTAACTTTTCAACTTCTTTTTATTGTTTGCATTTGATTATGTTTTTTTTATCACTATTTCTAAATGATCTTCTTTTGAATAATAAATATTTTGTTGAACTATTCCATTATTGCTTTAAATTAACAATTTAATAATACTGCACTATTAACTTAATTAAATATGATTTAATATTTATTAATTTGATTGATTTGTCTTTTGTTTTGTTATTGAGTTTGTTGTTTTTGATTTAATCGTTTAACTTTATTTCAAATAAATAAATAAACTTAAATATTACTGTTTACAAATAGCTTATATAGTTGTTAGTCCTTGCTTTGCCTTAAGGCCAAAAATTGAGGCCTTGGCCTTGGTCTTGGTCTTGAAATTCTTGGCTTTGATCTTGGCCTTAGCCTTGATTGTTTTGGCCTTGACCTTAAAAAAAAGACATATTTTCTTATTGATTTTGTTGAATTTTGCGCATAACCTTGTTCTATTTTTGCAAAATATGGTTTTATTGTCACAGCACTTGCTATGTATATACTACTTGTTATGTATATGTATATATATATATATGTGTGTGTGTGTGTGTGTGTGTGTGTGTGTGTGTGTATATTAGGGATGCACTGATGCATCGACCGTTTATGCATTGGCATCGGTCTTGATAACCATCAGCCGATGCCGATTGTTTTAAAAAGCTTTTAAATTTTTTTTTTTTTTTCTGATATATTATATCCAAACATAGAATTATGCCATAAACATTAATGCAATGTTTAAGCCTAACTTATTAATAATAAGTTATTACAGTAGTGGCCAAAAAATTAAGGCAGGCTACATTTTTAAACTTTTTCAACTTATTGTTTATTTCTGGCATTATTACCTTGGATAAAAATAATTTTTTTATTATATTTTAATTTTTGAAGATATTTTGATTAATTTTATACCATCAGGTTGCCATAGGAGTGATATGGGTAAAAAGCGTGATGTTAATAACTATGTTAAAGGTAAAATAAATGCACTATTTTTGGAGGGTTATTTTCAAAGTAGTATTGCAAAACAATTAAAAATATTGAAATGTGCTGTGCAAAATGCTTTATGTGTGGAAGACTCATCAAATCGGAAAAATGTGTGAGTACATCACAAGAAGACCATTTTTTAAAGAATGTTGTTAATAGTGAGCCCCACACAGCATCTGCAAGGTTATCACAACCTGCTATGGAAAGGGGATTTACTATTAGTTCGAGAACAATTAGAAGAAGGTTGTGTTATGACTTAGGTCTAGTTGCAAGAAGACCAGCTAAAAAACCCTTATTAACTTCAGCTCAATTACAAACTAGGATTAAATTTTGTAAGAGTTTAAAAGACAAGACGCCGGAATGGTGAGAACGCATAATGTTTACAGACGTAAGTTCGTTTCAACAAATTAGAGGCACGGGCTATAATTATGTTAGAAGACCTGTGGGAGAATGCCTAAATCCAAAGTATACCATAAAAATAGTAAAATATCCTCCTTAAGTCATGGTATGGGGAGCTATCACAGCGCAAGGCCAGTGCAGGTTGCACATCTTTAAAAAGGGTGAAAAAATCAATGCACAAAAGTATCTAAGTGTATTAAAAGACTAAGTGAAACTCCTCAAATTTTGTAAAACATTAGAACATAGTATGCCTAGAAGAATACAAGCCGTGCTTGATAATAAGGGATATCCAACAAAGTATTGAACTATAACATTTAAGTCATTTAAACTGTATTTTTGCTATATTTTGGTGCTATAACTATTATTTTGGTAAATATTAACAATTTTTGATAATTTTTATCTTATTTTTTCATTTATTTTACATTTTGTATTGCATTTATTCAATAAACAATTTACACTGCAAAATTTTAGTTATTTTTTATGACGTGCCTTAATATTTTGGCCACTACTGTATATAAGCATATATGCAATCACTAGTCTAAAAATTTTTGAACTGCTTTTAACAGGGCTCCGTACTTTTTTAATGTTTTCTTATAATTTTGTACATTAATTATATAACTTATGGGTATGAAACATTACAAAGACGTTTAAAATCAAGAAATGCACATTTAAAAAATATAAACATGATGTATAACATATTTAAAACAATAGAACTACTTGGGTAATGTTAACATCAAAATATTCAATTTTCCAAGGCCCCCTTGGGTCTAAGGAAAAGTGACCATGGGGGCCACCATATTGAAGTCTATGATTAAAGATTGTTATATTTATAGGGTGTATCAATTAGGGATGTACCGATGGCAAAGGCCTATTGTGGCTAATAATAGGTTTTAATGTATTTATTAAAGATTATTAAAATATTATTATGAATGTATAATACATATATAACCTGTACCTATACATCAGCATTGACTAGGTCTACTAACCTGTGCCATTGGGTAATCAGCAACCATTTAATCAGCTTAGCCATTTGCCAATGGCATCAGTTAATTAATCAACATTAGCAGATAAATCCGCATCGACTAATAAAGTCAAACCAAACTGGTGCATAGGCACACCTTATATATGCAAACTATGTACCTAATATTAATATATTACCTTTATATACATACATTAAACCATTTTATTAGCCTCAATCAGTCTTTGTCATTAGTACATCACTAGTATCAATATTTATATAGCTCCAGCCATAACACTGGCCCCAGCTTTGTTTTAATAAAATGAACCCATATCAAATATTAGTCCAGTTTGTTTAACCACTAGTTGTTATTTAATTTAACAAACATCAAAAAATAGCAAGTAGTTCAAGTGTTTTTTAAATTGAAGTTGAATGGAAATCTAAAATTTTCTAAATATGACTTATAAAATACTTTTTAAGCGCATAAGAGATGGTGAAAAGAATTTCAATGAACCTAATTGTGTTCTTTATTTAATACTTGGAAAATTTTTAATCTAGTCTTGCGTTTATAAGTAATTATTTATTTGAGTAAACACTTGTTGTAATCGTTTTAAATATAAACAATAAATACTGTAATACATATATAAGTTAATTTTGTTTGTAATTATTTAGATGGTATTTTGGAGATGTAAAGCGAGCTGAAGCAGAAAAGCGTTTAATGGTGCGTGGTCTTCCATCTGGTACATTTTTGATTCGAAAAGCGGAAACTGCAGTTGGCAATTTTTCTCTTAGTGTTCGTGATGGAGATTCTGTTAAGCATTATAGAGTGAGGAAATTAGATACTGGAGGATATTTTATTACTACGAGGGCTCCATTTAACAGTTTATATGAATTGGTTCAGCATTATACTAAAGATGCTGATGGTTTAGTATGTGCTTTGACTTTACCATGTCCAAAAGACAAACCGGTTACTGGGGGTATAGCTAAAGATGCCTGGGAAATACCAAGAGAATCACTTCGTTTAAATAGGAAGCTTGGTGCTGGTCAATTTGGAGAAGTTTGGGCTGGGGTCTGGAATAACACAACACAGGTTGCAGTAAAAACGCTAAAACCTGGTACCATGTCACCTGCAAGTTTCTTAGATGAAGCAGGGGTGATGAAAAAGTTAAGACACAAACATTTAGTACAAGTATGTATTTTTTATTTTGCTTTTAATGGAAGGTCAATTGTTAATAGCTTGTTATTAATTTGACATTGCTATTGTTGTATCTTTAAGTTTTTTCTATTTTATTTTTTCAATTATATTTTTAACTTTAAGTTTATTTAATCAAAGATTTTTAATTAAATTTATCATTTTCTTATATTTTTCATCCCACCCGTTACCTATGTGAATTATTTTTATTTATTAAACACATTTATTTGTTATTGCTTTTGACATGCAACTGGATTCATGAATTGTTCTTTAGGCCGCATGTTTCGAAACTGATTCATATTATAAATATGTTATTGTTATTTTTTTTAAAGTAATTTTAACTGAATCTCCTGAGATTATGTTTTAGTAGTATATATTAACATTTAAAAGGTATAATTTTGATAAAATCTTTGAAATTAAAGATGTTTCACTTTATTTTATAGCATTACACAATTTGTTTTCTACACAATTTGTTTTGTAGCTTTACGCAATTTGCTCTGATCGTGAACCTATTTATATTGTTACTGAGTACATGTCTGGAGGTTCATTACTTGATTATTTATCGAAAGGAGAAGGAGTTAATCTTCAACTTCCGACACTTATTGATATGGCTGCTCAAGTAGCTAGTGGCATGGCATTTCTTGAAGCACAAGGTTACATACACAGAGATCTTGCAGCAAGAAATATTTTAGTTGGTGAAAATTATATTTGCAAAGTTGCTGATTTTGGTTTAGCTCGTCTAATTGAAGATGATGAATATACAGCACATGAAGGAGCTAAGTTTCCAATAAAGTGGACAGCTCCAGAGGCTGCATTATATAATCGTTTTACTATTAAATCTGATGTTTGGTCTTTTGGTATACTTATGGCAGAAATTGTAACAAAGGGTAGAATTCCGTATCCTGGTATGACAAATGCCCAGACAATAGCAGAGGTTGAAAAAGGTTATAGGATGCCCATAATGCCGGGTTGTCCTGAACCTTTATACAATATAATGTTGCAGACTTGGAACAAAGACCCTGAAAACCGGCCAACTTTTGATTACCTGCAAGGTGTTTTAGAAGATTATTTTGTTTCGACAGAGCAAGGATACAGAGACTTAGGTGAAGCGAATTCATAATAAAACTTATCAACTGGACAAATTATATTTTTCTATGCAATTTTTATATGACCAGATAATTTCGTTAATAATTTAACTTCTGCGATTTTTAGCAGCATAAAATCGACTAAAGCGTTTTGTAAAAAAAATCTTTTATTTCAAATTTATTCTATTCTAATTTCATCCTAATATTTTGGGAGTTCTCGGTTTATTGTGTTTTCTTTTGCCTCTTACTTTGTGTTTTTCTCCTCGTTTATTTGCTTGTTTATAGTCATTTAATTATAAAATAAATTATATGTGAGCATCATATTTCAATTTAAATATAATTGTTTCTATTACTTTATTAAAACATATAGGTAAACATAGTCACGTGATGATTAGTTGTAGATAAAATTTTTATGGTGCTTATAAATCATTGGCTTCCTTAGGTATTTTGTAAATTTTGTTTTTAAAACGTTTGGTTTTGAACCTTGTCTATAAAGAGTTATTTTCAATAATCGTTTTTTTTTTTTTTTTTTTTTCTGTTTTTTCGAGATAATTAGTCAACGTTGTACAATTTTTTTGCTTGACCCAAAGTGAACAAAATTTTTTATTAAGCGTTGCAGCTGTTATAAGTTAATAATTAAACTGCAACTATTTTTTTATACTGAATAATAAAAAAAATGTATTTTTTTAATAGGAGATACTTGCACTTATAAAAAATAAATTGTAGTTAATATTTGACCGTAAATTATTTATGCCAGTAAGTAATTAAGAAAAACCTTATTTTTGTGAAACGTTTTTCTAAATGTCATGAACTCTAAGTTAGTAATTAAGCGTGTTACTATTAGTTATAAAGTATTAATTAATTTTGGATTATTTTAAACTGTTTAGAATTAAATACTCACGGAGTTCTTACTTTTTACTGCCATTATATCAAATATACTGTATTATACCAAAGTTTATATTAGTATAGGGATTGGTTCCAGCCGCACAATTATTATTTCTGAAAAGGAGTTTCCAATTTTATGAATCCTTGGTTTTTATTTTGTGCATGCATACTTACATATTATATATTTACTTTTTTGGCATAAAGTCATTTTCATATTCATTTCAAATTCCAACACTTTTTCTTCCTGTCGAACTTAACACAACACACTTAATAACGATTAGTAGTGTATAAAGCAGTAACAAGAAAATTTATTTTTTTTAACAATTTCAAAAGGGGTTTCCGGGTACCATGGAAACCCCCCTAATTGCGTTACTGGGTTCATAAACTGACAAGCAATACTATGTAAAAAATATTCTTTTACTCAAGTCTACACTCTGACATTCATTAGTAATAGTAAATAATTGCGTGTGACGTACACGTAATTATATATTCTAATATGATTTATGAAATAATGCGCTCAAGTAAAATTTGTTATAATAATTATTTGTGTAACTTGATTTTATTGCGAAGATTTTTTTTTTATTGTCTTATAACTATTTATTTACGTAAATAAAGGATAATCTTTGCAGGTTTTCATTTAACTATCTGTTTTTTCTCTTATAATTAAATTATAAATACTCTGAATTCTTTTATTAGAAACAGAAGATTTTCAGCAATTTCCGATAAATTTAGAATTTTGCTTTTTCTGACTATTGCGTTAAAAATTCGAATTTTTAAAAATGTCTTTATTTTTGACAACAAATTGCTCATTTAGTTCAAAATTTTTAAAACTAATTTTTGCTCCTGAATCACGAAATATCATAAACTATTTTTAAATTTCTTTATTTTGTTTGTACCAAAAAATTCATTGTGTATAAATTTCAGATTGATACCTCGTTAGGTTTGTTGAATATTAAAAGTTTGAAAAGAAACATGCCACAAAAATGCCGAGATTTTAAGAACATGTTGTAGTTTGGTGTAAAAGGCGCTTAAATAATTACCCAACGAAACATCAAATTTGTATACATTCTAAAATGGTTAAATTGTGAGTTGGGTAATATGTTTGGGATTCTAATATAGTAAAAAATAGGTGTTGAATTATGGGTGGTTGTTGATGTGTACTAGCTTGGATATAGCCAAATAAAATTCATGTTGTCAATTTTTTTTGTCTTTGTTTTTATATTTAAGATACGATTTTTTACTCTCCACTTCAGCATCTAGTGACAGTTGATGCTTTCTTTATTATAAGATTAAATTCATATAAAAGCATAATTAAACTAATAAGGAAAATAATAGTGCCTTTTCCAACGCGAGGGTTGCGTTTAGAAATTCAAACTATAAACTTTGATTGTCAAATAAGGCATTCTAGTTAAATAAAAAAATCTATAATGTAATGTTTTAATAATGTGGTTCCTGACCAGCCATGGCCACGGCTGCGCAATGATTAGAGTTCTGGCTCAGAACCCAGAGATTCGTACAGTACAGAAGGAGGCGTGAACTTTTAGTTAAATGCTCTCGCGTGGTACTTCGTAATAAGAATGTAAATACTTCTGGGAGCACCTAAATTACTACAAAAAAAACTGCTGTTAGCCCTCTTTATATATCTAAATTTTTTGTAATTGGCACTACGCTTACGTATGATAACTTGCCAACTCTGAACATAAAAGTCATGTCAAAAAGTCTCTGACAGTAGTTTTTTTTAACTTTAGTAACTTTTTTTAGTATCTTTATTATTTCTTTTTATTACTTTAATTAACTATAATCAATTCTAGAAAAACGGTTACAAAATACCTAGGTATCACAAAGGTTATTTCTAATTCTAAAATCTTTTTAATAGCTACAGCTTCATATACCTTGTACTTTAAAAAAAAAGATTTTATCAATAAGTGATCTAAAATATAAAAGATAAATTTGTTACTTTGGAACATGCAGCACTATTAAGTTATAAATATAATAAGCACCTAACATGAAAATCAAAACATTAAATTTTCATCTAATTTCAAGATTGAGTAGCCGTGTCGCAGTGGTTAGAACGCTTTCTTTAGAATCATGACGTCCAAGATTCGATGTTATCTCTGGCCATATTGGTAACATCAATAAGAAAAGAGGAATGAATTTCCTAACTTGCTAACATAAAGCCTTAGTAGCCGGTATGTGAAAAAAAATATATAAGAGCAGCTACACACTTAAAAAATACGCATATTAAAGCTATACTTGTAAATTAAAGCATAAATTCAATCTGAAATGCTGTAACAAATCCGAGCAACACAATTTAGTCGCTACTAACTTTAACCAGAGTTGTTAGTAAGGACTAACAACTCTGACTTTAATTCAAAGTGTTTTGCACTTTACTGTTAGTATTAATATGTAGATGTTGCGTTTATTCAACCTAGTTTTATGGTTGGTATTGTGATAGGCAGCTTATTAAGCCAACGTTAGCACCTTTGTTTTACTTAGTTGAGCTACATTGAGTTACTGTCAAATTAATAGAGCATTCCAAAACCTAAAGCTTTACACATTATTACCGCTTTTCTCAACAAAAGGTTTTTTGTTGAAAAGTAATGTTTTTAAAGATGAAACTAGAATGGTGTTATTATTATTTTATAGGCATAGGTGTTTATTTTCTTCCAGCTATATACCTTACGAAGACCTCATTCCAAGAATGTTACAACCTCCAACCGTGGACCAATTGTAACTTTATTTCAAAGATATTTAAGTGCCAAAGATAGGACATAAATAGATAGAATGATATTTTAAAGAAGCTTGAACTAATTGGCAGCAAGTCAAAAGTTAGCTGCACCAATTACCAATAGATTAGTCAAAAAATCATAGATGCAATTAACTTTTGACTTGTATTATAATAATATTGAAAATATGGAACAATAAATAAGTTTATTAAAATAATTAGGAAAAATAGTGTATTAATTATTTTTTATATTTTACTATAAACCATTAAAATATTTAAGCAATATAGGGAAATACGCCTTAACATTTTTGTTTCACGGTTGGTTAATTAAATAAGTTGAATCTTTACCGACATCTTCTGTTCGACTTTTTTTAAACGTTTTTCATTTTGAGGATGATAAATTATATGCGCATTTTAACTGGAAAGCTCTGAACATCAAAAATAAATTTTGTTTTATATGCTAGCAGCTTGTTCAATTTTGCTTTTTTTTTACTTACAATGTTGTGTAAAGAGAAACCAGACTAAAGATTAAACATGAACATCGTATTAGTGATTTTTTTAGCCTTGTCACTCAATAAAAATGCTGCATTTCCAAAAGGTAAATATGAAAACTTATGATGTTTTTTTTTACTCGAAAAAAGAAAGTCAAAATAAAGGTTAACATTCGGAAAACTATGCTAAATGGAACTTTGAAATCTTATTTGATGCATAACCAAGAGATAAAGGTTTAAGGTAACGATTGTTATATAAAGGCATAATAGTATACCTTATACATCTGCCATTCTAAACCGTTAAATATGTATTTAAAAGAATGATGTGTTCTTTGTAATTATTTTGTTTTAATAGAGATTCTCAAAATTTTATTTTAAAAAATTTGATTAAATTTAAGCATTCTGACCAAAGGGACCAAAACTAAATTTATATAGATTTATTATAGTTTAGTTTTTTTCAGTGCTGATTGAATTTGTCTGTTAAATTTTATATAACGCGGGTTTTTCAATATCAATAAAAAATAATTTCTGTTTTTTTTTTCATCATAATTAGATTTACATTTTTTTATACAATTTGCTAGAGAATTAAGATTTTTTAGGATAGCCTTTCCTTCGACACGAAAATCGTTTTGTGTTTCAAGCGTAAAAATCTACGTTTTTTAACATTTTATTTTACTTTTCATTCGTTTTGATTTCACGTTTTTTGCTCTTTGATTCCACGTTTCTTACTTTTTAATTTCACGTTTTTATTCTTTGATTTTACATTTTAAATCTTTGGTTTTATGTTTTTAACTATTTATTTCCATGTTTGAAAGGAATTATTTTTTTTTTTACTTTAAAAGATCTTACCTAATTGAATATCATCAGATTTTAAAACATTTGAAGTTAAAAATGAGGTTTAAAACTTTAAAACGCTTTACAAGGTTGTATAAAAATAGCAAATTAATTCCAGCAAATTTTAAATTTCTGTTTGCTTTCAAGCACGGAATCGAAGTTACTTTGTAACAGTTTTTATATTTACTGCTAGGACTACCAGACCAAACTTGTAAGATTTTTTACATTGAATAATAGTTATTAACAAGCATAAATAACAAAATTTCTTGAATGGTTCTTGAATCATCAGAAATTATAACGGCAGATTTATAAGAACCACCATGCCAGCTAACAGTTTTGTTTGCTTTTTTCAAGTTTATCTCATTTGTATTAGGAATTGGTATCATGGTATTTTTTTTATCTAAACGGTATAGTTTAAGAAGCAACATCCTTATAAGTTTTACTAAGATTTTAATAATAATCATTTTTCTCGTCAAACACTAAAATAATTGATAAAGCATGCTTATAATGGGGAACTTTTATATCGATATCATAAAATGCTTTGAGTGTCCAGATAATGCTTGACATGAACAAATATTTCTTGACATTAAGCTTGATAAAATTATATGGCCCAGTCTCAAACTAGCAAAACTTGGATTTACTGATTGAAAAACCGGTGTATTTATTTTTAAATATTTAATATGCTACACTTTAAGTCATTATGAAATTCCTTTTTTTGCATTTTTTTTTTTACTTTATTACTTCTTAAAACAACGGTGTCTTTTTTTCTGGGTGCTCAAAAAAACTTATGACGCATACCTCAGGGCCGATGATACAGGTTTCGAAGTGGGGGGCACAGTCGTAAATTTTTAAAAAAAGTCTTGTATATCTTGAATTTTCTTAACAACAAAAAAAAGTCCTTTTGAAAAAAAGTGTGTGTGGAGGAGGGGGCTCCCCGGTGTTGTCCCCCTGTACCTTGTACTTTCGTCGACCCCCTCCCCGGTGTTGGCGGCCCTGTACCTTCGTTTCATCATTAAGAGCATTAGTGTTAAGTGTGTGTGTTAGGTGCATGTGTGAGGTTAATACCTGAAAAATCTATATTAAACTGCATTGCAAGTTGTTTAAAAAGAGGGGATTTTTTAAGAGGAGAAATGTCTAATATACTTTACCAGGTGTATAAGACGGTTTGTAAGCAGTAGAGATGTTACCGGTTTTTGCATTTAGTCTGGCGGTTTTTTGCATTCAATCTGGCGGTTTTAAAATTTATATCAATTTTATAATGCATATTATGAATTGCTTAAATGATTAGTAATAAAAACTGTTCAGTTAAAAAAGTGTATATATATGTATATATGTATATATATATATATATATATATATATATATATATATATATATATATATATATATATATATATATATATATATATATATATATATATATATATATATATATGTATATATATATATATAGGGGAGACCGGGGCTAGTTGACTCGGTTTTTACTCTATGAGTTCTGTAGTCCTAACGAAACATTTTTTTGAAAACATAAAAGTGTAGTTTCAAAGAGTATGAATTTGGGTAACTTATAAAAGTTGTATTCATTTACAAAAAAAATATTGTGGGGCCTTTCTGGGCCCTCAAAAAAAAAAAAAAAATTGCGCCAACTTACCCCACCATGGGGTAAGTTGCTTATACTCAAGGGGTAAGTTGACTCGCAATAATAAAAGCTAAAGTTAAAGGTCCTATTTAAGTGTATTTCAATAATATTTTTACCCCGAGCCCCTTTTTTTTAAAGGAATCATAGCAGAAATATACTTTTATCAATATCATCAAACTTTTGGATCAAGTCATTGTAACATTTTAAGCAATAGAAAGTAAATATAATTAAAAAATACAGTGACAAAACAAAACAGTGTTCCCAATTTATGATTATACAATAAGAATTAAAACTTATATTGTTTTATTACATGAATATTTTTAACTAATGGAGTTTCAAATCGGCTAGCAGCAATTATTGCAAATGAAAAACAAAGATTTTCCGATTATACATGACTCGTGAGCCCAAAGGTGACATTGGGTGCATTGAACCCAAACTTCCCCTGCTTTACTTTTAGAAAACATTCCAACACAAACCAAACAAAAACACTCCTCTACAACAGAGCTATTTGGACAATTCAAACTTTTCTCCATTAAGTGTAAACTTCCTTTACTATTTGATCTTTTACTCATCTTAATATTATCTTCGTTTAACTTTTTTGCTTGTTTTCTCTCTTCAATTGCTAACTTTTTCTTTTTAGCTGATTCTTTCTCTATTTTTAAAACATTCATATTTGGTGAATCTGTTAAAATTGATGTGGTTCTACTTCTTTTATTAGCCCTAACTCTTTTTCTTGGTTCAGCTTTTTTGAATGGTCTTAAATCTTCAGGCGATAGAACTACAGTTGACTCTGTAGATGCACTGTGTTCATCATTACTGCTTGAATATGAAATATCTTGACGTGGTTTTATATCTTTTGAGCAACCAGCATTTAACATGTCATTCTCAGATATTGTAAAGTCAACATCCATTACATTACTTATATTTAGCACTGTACTTTCCACAGCACAGTCTTGTTTCGGAGGTGGTCTATCTGTGGTATAGGCTGGCATAAAATCGTGTTCACCAAAAATGTTAACATTTAGTGGGTAAATTCCTGTTTTTGCAAAACCAGCCTTGATATTATTAGGGGTACATGCTAATGGAAATGAGTTACCCACAATACCTGGTAAACTGTAAATAGACATTGTGGAACCAGGGTGCATTGTCATCCACGCATCGCAAGCTGTGTTTGTGTATTTTTTAAAAGGTCCAAATACACTTCGATCTAGAGGTTGAAGTTTATGGCTGCAATGAGGAGGAAATGAACAAACCGATACCCCATTTTCTTTAAAGTAATCTAAAGCCTCTACTGAAAGATGAGAGTCATGATTGTCTAATAGCAACAAAACAGGTCGTTCTTTTGTACTTCTGGCATATTTGACAAAATGATGGGAAAACTGCAAAAATTGAACTTCAGTCATCCAACCAGATGGGTTTGCAGCGCCTGCACTTCCATCAGGAGCACCATTTAAAAAATAGCTTTTAAATTTCACACGAGGAAATATGAAAAATGGAGGAATTGAATTTCCACTGGCAGAAACAGCAACTGCCACAGTTACTAAATTGCCTCTCTCAGCCGAAGTAACACGCCCAATTTGTTTAAAACCCTTTCTTGCTACAATATGATCTGGAGTTTGAACTGTGGTAATACCAGTTTCATCCATATTCCAAATATCTCCATTTTCCAACTTTAAACGATTAAGAATAGTTTGTAAATTGTTGTAAAACTTTTGAACATTTGTTGGATTAAAACTGGAAACACGTGCTTGACTTGTTGCCTCAGGTTTTCTTATTGACAGTTTTTTGTGCCTTTTGAGGTAAGCACTGAACCAGTCTTCTCCAGCTGCTTCATTTGCACTCCAATTATGAGGCATTTTTATGCTATTCGCTTTTCCATACTGATAAGCTAGTTTCCTCACTTCCTTAGGAGAAAGTCCATAATAAATATCAGAAGCTTTAGTCACATATTGTTCCAACAGACCTTCTTGTAAATCAGTAAAGACCTAAATGAACAATATCAATATTAAAACAAATAACACTATATATATATATGTGTGTGTGTGTGTGTGTGTGTGTGTGTGTGTGTGTGTGTGTGTGTGTGTGTGTGTGTGTGTGTGTGTGTGTGTTATATAACACACATATATATATGTGTGTGTGTGTGTGCATAACACATACTAATATATATTAGTATGTGTTATACACACACACACACATTGTATTAGTATGTGTTATAACACATACTAATACACAGTTATAAAATATAACTTATATGTTTTTTAAGATCATTGAGAACTCTATTTGTAAATATATATATATATATATATATATATATATATATATATATATATATATAAATATATATATATATATATAAATATATATATATATATAAATATATATATATATATATATAAATATATATATATAAATATATATATATATATATAAATATATATATATATATATATATATATATATATATATATATATATATATATAAATCTTATATATGAGATAATAATTACTATACAAAACATATTAAGTTTATATATATATATGTATATATATATATATATATATATATATATATATATATATATATATATATATATATATATATATATATATATATATATATATATATATATATATATATATATATATATATATATATATATATATATATATATATATATATATATATATATATATATATATATATATATATATATATATATATATATATATATATATATATATATATATATATATATATACTGACCTGTCTAGATTTTATGTAACCTGATATTTGCTGACTATGACGTTGTTGCTTTTTGCAGTATCGGGACAAACTTTTTTCAGGGATATTAAAGTCTTTGGCTGTTTTTCGTATAGATTTTCCTTCTAATAAAACAGCATCAACAGCATTTTTTATAACATTTTGAGGAGTTATAGCCCTCTTTGTTTTTCTTTTATAGTTTCGCATGTAATATATGTGATCTATCTAATCGATTTTTAAAAAAATAAATCAAAATTTATAGAAAAAGTTAAAATTTATGTCCAATCGCAACCGGGTTTAGTTGATATATACGGCCAACTTGCCCCGCCAAAATTTTGCCAACTAACCCCGAAAGCTATTTGGTCACAAACTCCCCTACCGATCCCTGAAAAACGTATATAAATAAAAAATAATGGTTGGACAGATTTTACTGAACCATGCAAGATATAACTCCAATCAAGTTTACTTGTACTTGATGAAATTGCTTTTAAAAATCGAAAAAATAAAGAAGTTGTAAAAGTTACAAAAATGTGGAAAAAACACATAAATCACAATATCTTTTATGCGCATGCGCAAATCCCCACAATACTACAGTGAAAGATGAAATGGTCAACTAAGAAGGTTTCCTGAAATTATTGGCACTTTTTGATGAAAGACTTTGCAGATAAACGCAATTCGTCAACTTACCCCTGCTGCCAACTAGCCCCGGTCTCCCCTATATATATATATATATATATATATATATATATATATATATATATATATATATATATATATATATATATACAGGGCCAGCGCCAGAGTATTTGGCACTCTAGGCGAATCTAACACTCTGCACCACCCCCCCTCCCAAACTTACTTTCTCAAAGGAATGCTTAAGTTATATTATTACATTTTGTATTTGCATTCGGAAGAATATATATATGCATAATCTTAAATAAACGTATATTCGTGTAACTTTATAATATATTAATAAATAATTCCAAAACTTAACTTTTCGCGCTTTTGTTTTTGCAAATGTAGAAATGAGTTCCATCAGCTCAATGTTTCTAGCAATATGGGGTCGTCCATAAATTACGTCACGCAGTATTTTACAATTTCGGACCCCTCCTCCCCCTGTCACAGATCGTAACGCTTAACTGACCCCCCCCCTAAATTACGCAACAAATTCTACCCCCACCCCACCCCAATACAATTTTTATATATTATAATAATTAAAATTTATTTAGCAGTTTTTTATTAATTAATTGTTACAGTTTAAAATAAACGTTATTATTCGTACACGTGTTCAAATTATTATTTTTACGGAGTACAAATTTTGAATTAATAATAAAAAAACTATTCAACGCGCAAAAAATTAAAATAAACATTTTTAATAAACCGTCAAATTAGTCTCGTGGACAGATCAACGGCTGAAGAACAAGACTTTAAGTTCGTTTTAGTTCAAAAAAAAGATTATATGGTACATTAATAATGGTGAATAAGCTACATACGTGCAATTTCGGGAGTGTTTAACATATATTTAAAGTCCCTTTCTTTATAATGGGTTGTTAATAAATTATGTTTATTAACAACCCATTCTGATTTATGTAATTATGGCACTTATTACTAAAAAATTACGATGTTATGACGGGAAGGGGAGGTACTCAAAACGCTCAAAATTGCGTGAAGTAATTTGTGGACAACGCCTATACAATTGCTGCGTCACAAAATTGTGTACCTCCTCCCTCTTGTAGCAAATCTTCACAAAAAAACTCAAAACAATAACTTTTAAACAATAGCGCTTAGTTTTTTGCATTTTCAAATAAACAGTGAGCATACTTACTTCCCTTTGTTTTAATACATTCAAAGGTTTTTTAAATATAAATATAAAAATAAAATTTAGAAAAAACAACTTTTCACAAACGAAATTTATCTTATTCATCTTTAAAATTACCATACATATAATATATTATTCAGCATTTATCCAAGGTGAGCAGAAGTGTTCATCCATTAAGAAAAGTGACAAGGAAAGATTTTTTTCTACATCTTCTTTTGGTATGATTTGAACATTAGAATTCATTTTCTTCAATCCAATCGATATGCTCTCCGTTTTCCTCAAACAAATTTATTGTCATAAGCTCAGTTTGATGACGAGCAGCCAAACAAGTATGCACTTGCCTGATTATGTCAGAAGCAGCATCGATTGGTGATTTTGAATATATATGGACAGTAACGTGTTTCTTTAACAACACATTGGATGCAAAATACATTGAACATTTTTTGCAACATCGACTCTTAAGAAGAGATGGCACAGATGAACATAATAAATCATAAGGTAAAACTCAATAAACCGTTGTCAGGTGAGACATAATATCATCTAACTTAAAGGTTTTTCCAACAAAAAGCGACGGAAACTTGTGGTTTTTATGGCATAATGCGTTCGGAACTTGGAGCCGTCCCTCTGGGAGTTGTGATAGCGGTATCAATGTTGAAAAAAAACGATCAAGTATGACTGTAAAATATGACCCTCTTGGTACAGCAATTCCGATTTTCACACTTAACTATTTGGAAAAAATACTGGCTTGTTTGCACATGACGAGCATACCAGAAGCTGTCCTTGGTTTTTAAAGTACTAGATAAGATTTCTGATTTTTCTGGAACAATAAATTCAGCAACTACAGGAAACTTGTCAATTGAAACATTAGACCAGATTTCCGCAAGAGTTTCACCAGCATACTGGAAATTTTGTTTTTTCAAGAGTATTATCTATTGTAAAACCAGCATTGTTAAGATGATTTCCATAATAATCATGAGGTAGGATCACGCTTGAAAGTTCACAACTTAATGGTGCCATTCTTCTATCGACTCGATTAAAAGCGCTCCTTCCTGGTGAATTTGCAGCCAATCTAGATCATGCTCAAGAAAATGATGAACTGCTACCTCAATTAACTTTAAAAAATATTTAATTTATTATGGGTTTAACAAAGCTAATATAATTTATTTATTTAAAAGAATACCTTTTGATAATGAGGGTTCTCACTGGACCTCCATCTACAGTCAAGATGACAACTGGTTTAACAAAAGAACCATTTTTAGAAAAATCCTGAAATTCTTTTAAGTCAGTTAGTTTATTAAAATCAAGAGCGTGAGATAATGCAGTCGATGACGAATGTTTTCCAGATCTAACAGCTATATATGTAAGGCCGAAGTAACCTACGAAACTCGGTTTCCCTAAACCATCTGAGTGCACTTCAATAGCAGCGTACACAGATGGGATAAATGTGTTATTATTAGCAATAACCCAGTCATGATTTGGTAGAGTCACTTTATACTCCATATACATAAGCAACGGCGCATGCTTATTTGCAGCAGTCAATCTAATCGGAACCTAAAACAATGTGATAATAATGCAGATTAAATTTTTCTTGATATGAAAAATTAAATAAATAAAAAAACTTATATAACCCTGGCTTTGTCGTCCTGACTGAGAAAAAAAACTTCTTTTGGACCAAGGAGAAATGATATCTCTTCAAGACGCCTGATTGTTTCTGTACAGAATTTCACATCAATATGTTTGGCATGTTTATCATTTTGGGATCTAATTAACTTAACTGGGACAGTTTTTATATGCCTATTTCCTTCTTGAGTTGCGCTGTTTCTTGGATTCAATCGAAGATAAGTACCGGTTCTACTAACTTGAAAACCTAGCTGAAAAATAAAAATTAGTTTCCCTAAAACCGATAAATTAAATAGTGCGTTTATTTTTCTATAAACTTATCAAATGTAAATTAAGTAGCTACTTGACAAAAAAACTTAAATCGATTAAAAAAAGAAACAACTTCATCAATAAAAGTTTTATAAAGAATTAACTAAATGAGATAATTTGCTTAGCATACTATAAAGTCAAAGTATTTACTTTTTCACGGTAGTCCTAATTCTCAAAACTACAAATTACCTTTTTCAAAGATTCAGTCAATTCACTTAACGTTTTTGTACTTCTAACAACAGTATATCTTCTTTTTTCATGAGCTGCTGAACCGTAAAGAGCAATGTCACAAATAGTTTTTAGTAAATCCGGTTGTTCTTCTTTAATTCACGGACGCCCACTTGTCATTTGAAGGTGGAGAGTCTTTTTTGCTGATAGAGTTGATTTACAAAGCTTTTTTAAGGCTTTCCCCCTGCTTCCCTCCTATTACTTCAGAACTTCCGGCTTCTCAACATTGAATCTTTTTTCTTCTTTAAGTTCTTTTCTAGTTCTTTTTTCTTCTTCTTTTCTATAAGCTCATTTTCTTGCACCGATGTAAACTGTCCGCATTCTTTTCTCTTCATCAACCCAATCAAATCTCCATTAATCAAATTATTTTCTTGTTTTAGTGAATCTTGAACTTTTCTCTCCGTCTTAGCACATCGCACAATTGAATCTACAGTACTTGATTTGGTTACTTGAGATGGTTCTGCTACAAAATCAATTTCATCAGAAACTACGGAGAATAAAGTTTTTGATTTATCAACTTCAACAAGATTCGATTTGTTTTCTTTGTCATGAGAAATTGAGGATTTTGTTGCAGCTGACGACCAGTAATTAAACAACTTTCCTTTTACTTTCATTGCTTTTGTTGAATATGTGTTTAATAATTCTTTTACTTTTTCAGGAAGTTTTTCATCATTTTTTATTTTATTCCATATGATATTTATTTCTTTTTGGCAGTTTTGTTTTGACTTAGAATGGCCATAAGCTTTTACAAATCTTTCGTATAATTCTTTGTATAAAACGCCTCGATCCATTTTTTAATTTGATTATAAAAAAATTGTTAACGATAAAAAATAAAAATAAAGATTCTTTATTCGATTTTGAAAGACAAAACAACAAATAAATTACTACGACAAAACAACAAGTAAAGAAGATTATAGGTAGAATTTGATTTTTAAAGGCGCATATGTTTTAAATATTACAACACAGTCAGCCACCGGTTAAGAAGGTTCCGCCTATTCAAAACAGTTTTTAATTCCCTAACAAGCTGTTAGCTCGTTCGGGAATTAAAATTGCTTCGAATATTTGAGTTTTTTACATGAAGAATAACCTTTACATTATTTAATATAATAATTTTAACATTAAATGTAAATAATCTTTGTTATCCGAACCGGGAGGTATATTACGTCACGCTTTAGGGATATAGGAGGGGGGATTGGATTAGTGGTTTTGTGATAGCAGTTTTGTGATAAAAGTTACAATGACTTGACTAGATAAAAGGGGTCAAAAAGGTAGAAAATTGGTGACGTAATTTGTGGACAACCCCTTTTTCAAAGTTTTGTTTATTTGAATAGATTTTTTGCTTCTAATGACAAATAAAGTAGTCCGATATTCAAAGTATTTGATTTTGTTAATTCATAGCCGTTCTTAGAATTTAAAAATCAGTTCTGTCACATATTTATTTAGCAACTTACAATTATCATATTTATAACAACAACCATCAACACATTATTTATACTTATTTATACACATTTTTATATAAACAATGCTTACATTATATATATAAAAAATTGTTGCGTCACACTATCGGATCCCCCCTCCCCCTCGTAACTAATCATCACAAAACCACTAACCCCTCCCCCTTTAGTGCGTGACGTAATTTATAAACGACCCCTATCATGTCCACGAGTTCCATTAGTTCAATGTTTCTAGCTAATCCAGCAAGTCTTTCTTGCTGCATAGACGTTCTCAAAAATGTTTATATCAGTTTGAGTTTTGATAAGCTTCGCTCACCGCTAGCCACTGAAATTGGAAGTTTCAAGAGGATTCTTAAAGCTATAGCAGTGTTGGGGGCATAATCTGTTAGATTATTTTTTAATATAAACGAGTAATAAAAAGTTCGCATTGTATTAATTACTACAAAATTTCATTTTGCATAAAAGTATAAAAAGAAAAAAGAAATCGCAATAAAACAAAAGTATCAAAGTTGTTTTGTTTTATTTGAGATTTAAAAGAGTACTTTAAATCTAAGTCATAAGGATTTGGAAAAGATTTTGGCAATGTTTTCAATATATTTATTTTTTATGTAGCAAGTTTTAGTGCCGCCCTAGGCGGCCGCCTAGTTCGTCTAGTGGTTAAACCGGCCCTGCATTTATATAATATATGTTTATTTTATATATGTATAATTCTTTATAGTGTTTCTATATATTATAGTGTTTTATAGAGTTTCTACATTAAAAATAAAGAAAATGCCTCATATGTTTGAGGCATTTTTTATTTTTAATGTAGAAACAACGTAGTTAATGTAAATAAATGTAGAGTTTTTTGTGAAAGTTTACTTTTTATTAGAATTGTTTTAACAATAAACATTCAGCAATGGCGCAACAAAATTTAAGTAAAACTAAATAGCACAGGTGTTCGTAAAATATGTCTACGTCTTTACAGGTTTAATAAAAAAATACATCGTTAGTTATGTAAAAAAAGGTTTCATAACTTATCCGCAAATAAAAAATAGTGAAAATACTAAAAAGGTAAAATCAACATGTTTTTTTCTTAAAACTTTTAATTAAAAAGCACTGCAGCGGAAATAAATTATTTAAAAAAAAAATCCACTGGAAACAGTTTGCATTATCGATAAACCACGATACTTTGTGCAATTACAATCTAAATTTTGAAAATATTTTGTCGACGTCTTTAAAAAAAAAGGATGGGGTGTTAAATTTTTGGTGTTCAAGATAGGTAACTTCTAGAGATGGTGCAAACTTTAAAAGTTGTAATATTAATACTGGTATTGAATAAGAATTAAGTTGTAATATTAATACTGTTATCGAATAAGAATTACAAAATATTACAGCGATCGGAGCCTGGAAACAATATACTCCTGAAAAATTGGGTGTATATTGTTTTCAGGGAGAAATCCTAGTGTCCCAAATGTGGAAAGAAGAAAAAAATGTTTTTTTTTTTTGTAGTATCTTAAAATAGAAAAAAATTCATGGAAAAATTAATTTATTAAAAAAAAAATTCTTATTGATTAAAAATGGCGACCAAAGATAGTTTAAAACCCTCTCTACTTGAGGGGCCTGTCAACATTACATGATCATAACTTTTGAATAATAAAATATTTTTTTTACTAAATGCGAACTTTAAAGATGAACATAATCGTATTTATAATGGTAAACTTTTTTTTAATGCTATTATTACTCCCTTCCGTAACAAATATTTGGTCCTTAGATCCAAAATATTTAGTCCTTAGATCCAAATATTTAGTCCTTAGATCCAAAATTTGCCCTAATTTTATGGCAAATTTTAGATAATACGTTAATTACTGTAAATAATGTTTACATTACAGATTAAATGAATAAACAAAATTTCCCTGTTTTGTATACTACCTTATGATATACCGCAAGAAAACATGTTAATAGATATTATAATTTTTTTTTATCTGCTGCAGTAGTTAAAAAAACATACCAACAATTGATTAGTATTGCACATATCGTTTTAAAATGCCAAACATTTAAAAGTATCATAAAGATTAGAGCCTTAATCTGCCTAATTTGTTTTTCAAAAGTATCAGGAGTGACAGAAGTTAAAGAAGGAAGTGTGACATTGAACAGAATACATATTTTCTTTTTAAAATCAATTAATTTGAACAATGAAAACTTTCCTAATGGCATTGGTAGTAAGTGTAGAAATTTAGAAAGACTTTAGAAAATTAAAAAAAAGACATTAGAAAGACTTGAAAAAGGAGAAAAAAACATTATTCTGAGTAAATCTTATGATTTCTCAAAAGTAAAAGTTAGTATTCTAACCGGAAATCAATCATTCCGTGTTTGTGACATCTGCGAAATTGCTTGAATTACTATTAATTCAGGATCAACATCTGAAAATAGATTGAGAATCAAGTTGAGAAGAGTAAAAGCATTATCACCTGGAACAATAAAAATATATAAAAGGACTAGGGTTGTAATTGAATTACCCCACCCTTACACTCTAACAACGAAAAGAAAAAATTTAACAAAAAAACTTGACAAAGCTAGGGTGAACCCTTTATTCTTGGTTTAACATTTTAAACTTGAAATTTAGTAATTTATATAATATATTTGATATAAAAAAATTGAAAACACGGATGTAAATTTCTGTTGATATTTAGATACACGAGGTGCCAAACTTTAATGCTCAAAAGTATTGAAAAGAATATTTGAAGTGGAGGGAACTAAAATCAAGGTTTCAGCCAAAGGTAAAGCACTAACAGCTGAAAAGTTGAAAACCTCTGCAAAAGGGTTTTTCTCAGTTGAAAAAATACCAATTTCGAAAATAAATTTAATAACAATTGTGGACTGACAGAGAGCCTCTCAGGAAAAAAATTTTTATAGAATTTTATAAACTTTTGAAACAAATGGCCTATAGAAATTCTATAGAAATTCTATAAAATCTCTGCTAATTTCTTTAGAAGTTCCTATACAACATTTTTTTCTATTTTTTTTTCTATAGAAAAAAAATATTTAATAGCAATTTCTATAAAAAATTATTAGAGAAAATTTCTATAGGCTATATGTTTCTAAAGTTTATAGAAATTTTATAAACTTTTTTTTTCCTGTGCTAAGTTCCAAGAAAAAAAGTGGGTGGGGGGAAGGGGGGAATGAGCGTGCTTCCCCTCCCCCCGGCACTAAATTATTAGTATATTTTAAATTTGAAAGGAAAGAGACTTATTTGAAAGAAATGTAAGATAGAAATCAAGAGAGAAAGATTTTTTAATGATTAATTTGATGTTACAGAAATAATTTTTCAAAAGATTCCACACAATTAGTTTATGGTAAAAACATTAATAGATTGTTGAGACAGTAATAAAGGTGAGAAAATTGTAAAAAGATTACATTCTTAAGGTGGGCATTGACGTAAAATTTCATTTAGTAGGCATTGACGTAAAAGTTCATCTGTAAAATTTTCACTTAGTAAAAAATAGTTTAACATTTAAAAGTTATGACTTTGCAAAGTTGACAACCTTATCAAATAGAGAAAGAGTTGTCAACTTTTCTTGGTTGTCATGCTAGCACACTTACATTTGGCCGACGTATGTAAATACATCGCAAACATCGACTGTTTTCTCCGATGCAAATACAACGTTGATCCAATGTTAGTTTTATCGTATTTATATTAATGAAAACTTAAGGAAAAATATTAAAGTACTTAAGGAAATTAATTAAAAATAGTTAGCAAAATTACATTGCCCCAATGTATGTAAAAAATGATCCAATGTATATAAATCAACGTTGACCAAATGTGTATAACCCCGCATTGATCCTATGTATATGGATTAACTTTGATCCAACATACATTGTATATAACGTTGCGTTTATAACGCAACGTTAATACAATGTGTATGATCAATATACATTGGAATAACGTTGGATTATATACAAGCATGAATAATGCCTGATTTATCAGGTACCTTTATCAGATAAATATAAACAAGCGTCATCAGCAATGATAGTCCATCAAAATGGATTAAATGTATCTGTATAAGTATATAACGCAGTCACATATGCGTCTAAACATTTAATCTTTGATGTATATACATATATATATATATATATATACATATATATATATATATATATATATATATATATATATATATATATATATATATATATATGTATATATATATATATATATATATATATATATATATATATATATATATATATATATATATATATATATATGTATATATATATATATATATATATATATATATATATATATATATATATTTATATATATATATATTTATATATATATATATATATATATATATATAAATATATATATATATATAAATATATATATATATATA